ATTCTAAAATCAAGTTAAAATAAGAGGTGAATATGTAATTGTAGTTTATTATTTAAATAGTTAATCGGCTAGTGGTCAATTAATAGATATCGTTCAATTTAGGTTAATACAAACAGCAGGATATGTTGGAGAAGCCTATCTATTTTGTCAAATATGTACCGATCGGTAAATAAGAAATAAAGTTATAAAGAAAAAGAGTGGCAGCAATTCCTTATTGGTTGACAATAGCGGTGATGATGCTAACTGAGTTGTGGTTTTGAAGCCGTGTGTCTTTTATTAACAAAGGAAGACTAAGAGGGACCAAAGTTGACAAATTGTATAACTGTTGTGGTCAGTCTGAACTGCGGAAAAAATATTGTTCATAACTTACATGGTTATTAATATATTTATATAAAAATTTTGTTAATTTTGTTGCAGCTTATATAACACTAGCTAATATAAAACTGATTATTAAATCTTAAATAATCAAATAATATAAATATATATATATATATATATATATATATATATATATATATATATATATATATATATATATATATATATATTTATCCAAATATTAAAAGTAACGAACTATCGTTTTTGTACAAATAATTGTTCAACTCAATTTACCATTAAAATCATCCCATTGGTTGTTTAAAACCTATCATTTTAACTGGGTATTACAAGTTGATGTTTTTTCCACACGATTTCTCATTAAATACTTTTTAATACATGGTTTATCATTAAACTGTCATAGGCATTTTCTTTGGTAAAATGTGTGAGCGACCACATAAGGTTTGTTGACTGTGTTAAAGGGAGTGGTGGAGTGTTTTCACCGGTGAGGAGAAAGGGAGACGATGCATTTTGCAATGCTTAACCGGCTAGATCTATAATAGCCTATCAAAATGGTATTTTTTGAATTGAGTTTAGTAATAACCTTGTAAGAAAAATAACTAAACATATAATTTATTATCCTACAAAAATCATTTCCCTTAAAAACTAATTTCATCAACTTTAAGTTACATAACCCAATTTCAAGCACATAAGAATATTTCCTATAAAGTTTCAATTCACAAGATTAATGCTACAAAATTTCCACCAATTTTGTACCGTTTCTAAATGAACATAATAATTCTTACTATGAATAATTGTTGCAACACTCAGTTACCTTTTTAGTCTTTTTTACGTGAAAGGTACAAATTATATGATCCACCTACTAGGTTTTTTTTTTTATAAAACTACTTATAAGAAAGATAAAATACACATAACAACTACATAAAACACATGTATTAAAATAATATTTACAACTACATAAAACACATGTATTAAAATAATATTTTGATTCTAATTGCTTTGCTTTTCTCACTTCCTAACAAGACGATAATCGAGACTAAATTCAGTTATGGCGTTGTAATTTTCAGAAAAAAGAGAAACTGAGTGTATTCTTTTTAATTGGTATGTGAATCTTTTTTTTTTGAAAGCCTAAATTCTCGTGAAAAGTCATGCTTAATGGTTATTATGTTAATTTAGGGTAAAGCATGATAATGATTCTAAATAAAGTTATGGACCACCAAATACCGATACATTACAAAGGATTGCCCTAGATCTAATCCGTACGGTTCAGGCCCAAATCTACTTTTATTTTTGTTTTGCTACACGACATCCTTTCTTTGATTTTGTCTGTCCAAATCAACCCTATTTACAGTGTACATTATATTTTTTGATCACTAAGCTTTTCTTTTGTACCCTATCTTGGTTGTAGTTTATAATTTGTTTCTAGAATAAGTAGGGAGTTTTGATTTTTTTTAATTAGAAAAATATAGTTCAATACAGATCGATTGAAGACAAACGAGCAAAAAATGAGCATAAAATCAAAAGTTAAGTGACCAAAAATAACCTAAACCATAAATTATTTCAAATTTTATTAAAAATCAAGTTTATAAGTTAGTTCATAGCGATAAGTTACTTTTGATTTTTTTCGTATCATCAAAAACTACGGTCTTATTTGGCAAACGAGCTTATAACTTACTTTCTAAACTAAGATAAGCTAATTCAATAGTTTTATCAAACGTTAATTTATAATAAGTTGGCTTATGTATTTCAAACAGGGCCTTAGGCCGTGTTTGGTGCTAGCTAAAATGCTAGCTTTTAGCTTATTAAGGTAGTTTATCAATAAAATTATCTCAAATTAGCTTATAAGTTACTTTATAAGTTATGATAAACTATGTTTGTTGTCCTACCTGATGCTAAAATTACAATAAACTTACTTGTGTCAAATAATGTCCTAAATTGTAATAACCTCAAAATAAACTAGCTTATAAGTTAGTTTATCCGCATCAAACGAAGTCTGCCAATAAATCTGGTTTCATATATTTTTAATATCTGGATATTATAAAACTGGATGAAATGATATATATGATTCAATCCAAAGACGGCAGATAGACTTTATCCAGATTTTGGTGGAAATTATAGGATTTTTTCTGATGAAAACTTGACCCCAAAAGGTCGATTTCAATTTTTCAGGGTATGCGATACAAAAACCAACGGACGATTATCCAAACATGATAATATTATAACGGTATATTTCAAAAATTCGGAAAAAATCCGATTTCCGTTTGTGCACCTCAACCAAGTGTGTGTGTGTGTGTGTGTGTGTGTGTGTGTGTGTGTGTGTGTATATATATATATATATATATATATATATATATATATATAAAGTAGAAATATAGAAGTAGAAAGGTTGTGTTTCAATTCAGGTGACTTTTGTTGGCGTCATTAAAGCCCATCAAGAAGAGTAAACCAACCAAAGTCCAAATCATCACCAATTACGAATTACGAACAAATTACAAATTAATAAAAGGAGCCGATTATTATACAATAAATCCAATAAAATAACAATAAAGGAAAACGTAACAAAATCCCACAAAAAACAGCAAGAAAAGAAAACACATTCCAATTCCGTCGCCATGTGCTATAGTATATATCCAAAAGAAGAAAGAACTAAGACAAACTAAGTGTGGATATTTAATTTCAAGACTCCACCTTTTGTGGGAAGGAGAGTGAGAAATTACCTATTGGTCCATGAGGAAAAGCTTCCAATCATAAGATTCCATTCCACTGCCAACATTACATTGCATTCCATTCCATTCCTTTGTTGCTCTTACTCAAGAAAGCACCCATAGCCAGCCTATGACTATGAGCATCAGCATTCTCCACTACCACCATCATATATGATATGAATCAAATAAATACATAATACAAAAACTTAAAAAAAAAAAAAAATCAAAAACTATAGTGAAAGCAAAATCTAGCCCCTATAGATAGATGCGTGGTCCTTCCTCATCCGCATAATAACAATAATAATTATTATATCACTCCCCACTTCATCAAAATTAAATTAAAACCTTTAATTATGAGAACCCTAACTTTGCTTTAAAGAAAGATACACCCACACCCACTAGTACTACTTATTAGTGAATCACTTAATGGAAGCATTAAAGTAAAACACAATCGGAGATATTGTATATACAAATATGATGATAAATCTACCAATTGGGACATGAATAGATAGATCAACTTCCATTAAAAAGCAACTAATCTTTGCTGCATAAATGGAATTGTTTGTTTAATGGTATTGGTACGATGCTTCTGGGAGCATCGTTTGGAAGAGAACCAAAACAAGTGGAATTATTATGCATCCCAAAACTTTTCATGCTTTTTATTTTTTTTATTTTTTTCTAAACCAATTGAAGACTTACACAATATGGATATAATATTTTGGTGGTACTTTCCAGCAATGGAAATGTGGGGCCCAGGAATCTGCCAGATTAGCAACCACTTCTTACCAAAAAGAGAAAGTAAACCGCAGGGACCGCAGCTCAAAATCTTTACCCACTAAAACAGTAACATATCTTATCGACTAAACCCGCTAAAAAGGTTACTTGATATGATCCCTTGTGTTTTTTGGCTATGTTAGTTGGTACAAGTTTACTTCAAATTCCAAAGTTTAGTTTCATACATCTTGTTTTGTCATATCCAATCATATTTTATTTTACGTTTGAAGTATAGTGTATTACGACTTAAGCCCAATTTCATGTGCGCGTCTGACCGAGTCACATCAGATATTTTTGGCTGACTCGGTCAGCTGAAAGTGTTTGATATGCAAAATTTCGGCGTCTGACTCGGAAAGTAAGGTCTAGGTGAGAAAGAAGTTGGCACATGGTTGACTAAGAAAGGAAACAAGGTTTTCTAATAATACCCTTACCCTTGGATAAAAATTCGTAAAAGAAAGAGGGTGTATAGGAATGTTCAGGTCTCCCTTATACAAACAATAGCGTTTACCATCAAGCTAGAAGGTTTTTTGTGTTTTAATCCCTAAAATAATATATTTAATGTCTATTATGCTAGAAGTTTGTGTATACATTATTATTATTATTATTATTATTATTATTATTATTATTATTATTATTATTATTAATCACTATATATAACATCAGGGTAAAATTATTATTTTGCATCCGTCAGCATATTCAGTAAGATGTAATCAAATAGTATGATTTCTTATTCTGTCAGAATTTATTAACCTTTCCCAGTTAACAATTTCTCAAACAATATCAAACAGGACCGTAGTCATTTTCAAAATTACGTCATGTCATATTATATCACGCGTCTGAAGTTTTGTGTATTTCATTTAAGTCATCTTCAAAAATTATGTTCAAAATTATTAATCACTATATATAACTAAGTATTGTATGGATGTAAGAATAAATCTACGCCAATCATTTTAAAAACATGGAATAATGATATAAATGTAATATTACATATTAATTAATTATGTTAATTAATCAAATTGAAGGGATATCCCCTTGATTCATGTTGCTAACTCTAAAACCCTACCCCTTTAAATCAAAGATCGGTTTATTCATCCCCCCATCGGTATCATCTTCCCGTCGACACTGTCACCCTCTTGCTCTCTACACATACGACTCGACCGCCGCCACCACCCTCCTTCCCTACTGCTACCAGCGCCAATGTCTTTTTTCCCCAGAACAATAATCAAACCCTCCAACTTCTTTTATTCCTTTATTCTGAAAAAAAAAAATATGTCTCAATCCCCCACACAAATCATCTTCCCCCATATTTGATTCTTCTTCCTACTACTCCTCCTAACAAAAATGGAACCCAATACGAACGACAACTCCTTCGTTGCCAACGCCACCATATCCTTAGCCACTGGCGCATCCCTCTCATCCCAATTCTATTTTTTCCAGATTACAAAGGTATTCGACTGTTGTTATGCAATTCAGTTTTCTTAAGTTCGAATTAGTATATTATTATTACACAATTATGGTCTTCGGGTGTTGTTTGATGTCTGTGTTCGCATAATTTCCATGTAGCTGAAATTGGTATAGATATATTTTACACAATGGTTTGATCTTCGCAATATCGTGATTTTTTTGTGATCCAGTAAGCCTAATAGTGCATCCGAGCTGTGATGATATTGTCTGCTCTACTACCAAGGGCGACTGTAGGTAAATTTACTCAAATACAAAAATGCATTGCATACGGTCTTTCTCTAGTTAGAATTGATTATAGTTCTTGTTCAAGAAAAAGATATGTTTAATATTTGCATTAGGGTTGTTGTGGATCTTTGAGTATTGATTGTAATAAACTTTCTAGTCTCAGATTGCCCATGGTAGCAGTTGTTCAGCAACCATCAATTTGATTGCCCCTCAACTTGAGAAACTCACCGTAATTTGTTGCTCATTTGAATGCTCCACCAGGACTTTCATCTTTGGACTATTGGGGTGGTTTGCCCCTGAAATTGTGTAAAGATCGGTTTTACTCTCTAAACAAAGTGTCTATCTGTTTCAATTGTTTTGGTTTGCCATATAAAGAGAAAGATACAATCAAGACTATTAACCTGCTTCAAGAGCTCCATAGTGCCGGATATCTTACACTCAACGTGGACATTGTTAAGGTATGTTGATATATCAGTAATTATTGACATGTAGTGCGTAAACTGCAGGTAAATTACATTCTTCATTTACATTCTCCTAGACATCTCGTTTTATTCTCATCTTCTACAGGTAAATTACATTCTTCATTTACATTCTTATGGAATACATCATTATTCTTTTTATTTATCATAGATGTTTCTCACAAAAGCTTCTTATTATTTTTACTCGTCATGAATAAGTACATACGTGTATGCAATAGAGACTGATTTGAAGTCTGGTGAAGAATGAAAAGTAATGCAACAATATTCGTTCAAAATAGATTAGTATGTTTTTCTGTGAGAATGGATTATCAACAATATTTCTATTAGAATGTATTAGTGTTTAATTTAGATTTCAATGTTTTTATTTGATTTTTAACCATTTTCGGTTGTATTCTTGAAGAATAAATCTAATTATTCCATTACTACTTGTATTCTTTCAGAATGAATGTCATTTATATATGTTCATAGTTGTATTTATTAAGAATAAATTTAATTATTGATTTTAAAATACTAAAATTCTTTTCATATAAAATTTGTATTCATTAAAAAATATTAATCTTAATAATATATGTTTATAGTATTTTGTCAGAATTTAACGTGTTTTTCAAGATAATGATAAACACAATCTTTTAGAATATCCGAATTAATATATTTATTATCCAAAAAAATCAGATTTTTAAAGTTTAGAGAATTAAATATTCTTTAAAATATGAAATTTTCCTTTTTTAGATTTATGTTAATTAACTAAAATACTCTTAGAATGAAATTAGATGGTATTTTTCAATTATATTTAATTTAATAATATGTATTAATCACTTTCTTAAAATAAATAAAATAATTAGCTCACAATCATTCCTACATCTACACAATAATTAGTGAGAAAAGAATAACCTAAGCCTATAAATTGTAACTAGAGGTGCAAACAAATCAATCCTCGAGATCGAATCGTTAAAAACTCGATTCGAGATCGCTTTTAAACGAGCCCGAACCGAGCTTGAGCTTAATATTAAGCTTGTTTATTAAACGAGCTCGAGCCTCTGTTACTTAGCTCGATTAGGCTTGCGAGCCTAAACAAGCCTACATATATATATAATAAAAAAAAATATTTTTATTTTTATATATTAAAATAAATAATAATTTAATAAATACCATTTTAAGAAATTAGAGTATACCGTATACGAGCCGAGCCCAAAGCCGATCTCGAGCTTTGTACCACAAGACTCGAAACGAGCCGAGCTCGAGCTCGAGCCTATAAGCATTTAAACGAGCCGAGCCTGAGCTCGTCTCGGCTCGTTTGCAGCCCTAATTGTAGCTCAATTAGGTCAGCTATATTGTATGGCTCTGAATGCAAACTTATAAAGAAGGATGAAAGTTGTAGAAATGAGGATGTCCGCCGGAAATAAGTTGGGCGTTGCTTTGACTGCCGAAAATTGAGAGAGATTAAAAAAATAAATAAATAAATAAATAAAAACATATGAAAATCCATTCAGTTCATGAGTACCGACCAACTAGATATGATCCATGGAATGTAATCAGTAAATAGTAGTACAAGATAGGAGGAACGTAACAAATTGTATTATTGAAATTTCGCATAGCAAAATACATTTATGAAGAGTCAAAATTTAGTAAACATTTTCAAAAATGAAATAATGCACACCATGCATATGTAGTGAACATTTGCATCTTTTTTTTTTTAATTAAGGAAGCTTTAACTTACTAACGAGCAAGCAAGCAAATTTGTTCATCATCTTGTTGGAGGTGGAGGCACATTGGATTTGGCCATACCTATCCACGCAACAAGCCCAACAGCAAGGATCACCCATCCAAATATATCATATTTCAAATCACTATTCTTGCTTTTTCCACTCCCCTACATATATGCATTAAAAAAATCATGTGAAATAAGAAAAAAGATTAGTATATAAAATGAATTTGTATAAATAAAAACCTTAGCACTTGAAGAAGGCCCAGACCCTCCGCCTAATGTTTGTTGACCTTGACTAAGTCCACCATGTGCGTGGATCTCCTTGTGCAACTCAGTTGCCTGCAAGATTGAATTTAATTTTTTTTTTTAAGAAAAAGATTCATAAAAAAATAATAATAACAATTTCGCAATATAATTGCGAAAATGACGTTTTCAAACTTTTATTTATTTTTTAAGGTTTTTGTGGTGGGACCCTTCATAAAGCAATTTAGCAATTGACGCCATTTATTAAAAGGTCAAAAGCTGGTCAATTTTTGTGATTATCTCTTAAAATATTGTCACTCCCATTATCTAAAAAGTATATGATTTACTGAATATCGATTAAAATTTGTGAAAGTAAACTTAAACTACATAAGGTAGAATGAGTAAAAACATCATAACGTAGTAGAGAAATTGATAAGAAATTACAAAGAGACCAAATTGAGTTGAATACCTTAGCACATTGTGCCAATGACTGAAGATAATGTTCATTCCCTGGACACTGAAACAATTTCATCACAAAACATAACATGAACAGTTTAGATATGATTCTGAAAAAACAAATATATTTAACTTATATGCACAACAAAAAAATGGATAATAAATTAATACCTCTTCTACAGCCTTTTCGAAACATTGAGTTGCCTTATCAAACTTAACTTTAGCCTCATCATGATCAGGGGTTAGAAATGCATTAGCAGTGTGAGCATTTCCTAAACACCACAGAGCCTCATGTTTTGCAGGATTGATAGTCAATGCCTCATCAAGTTTTGACACAGCATCTAAATTTTGTTTATTCATTGTGAACAAAATATTAAACTTGTTACCAGATTGTTTTAATGTAAAATTAAGATTAAAAAAAGAAACTGCACGAGTACCTCTAAGCATCTTCTTTGATTCGTTTATATCTCCAAATTGGGATAATTCCAGAAGAGCTCCACCCCATCTTGTTAAATTCTGTAATAATATAACACTTCATCTCTAAGGTCCCAATTTTTGAGTTTTTTAACAAAGAGAAAAATGTGATAAAACAGATGGGTTAAATTATTTTTTGATTAAACCTTTTATAAAAGACTAAGGTGCTGTTTCTTTTTAACTTAATGGACTTAATGGGGACAGGACTTAAGCTAGAGAGATAAATAGTAGTGTTTCTTTTTTACTTAATATAAACAGATGAGGTTAATGAGCTAAGTGAGAGCAGGGTGTCTTTATCCATTAAGACCTCAGTTTTTTTCATGTTGCTACCCTCTTAATTTCTTCCCCAAGAATTTGCCGATTCTCTGTCCTACCTTGATCTTCTTTCAAGAAGAATCAAGTATTGCTGCATATTATTAACTACATAAATTTTTTTTATTATCTTCATTTACAGTTTCAATTAATAAAGATTCTCAAAAAAACACTTAATTATTATTCAACATCGCCTCTAGAGTCTAAGCAGAAGGGTAAATGGACATTTTTCATATTCAGTGTGTTCATTAAATCCATAAAAGAAACATTATTTGATTATACAACACTTACTCCAAGTAGTCATCATCTCTCTATTCAACACTTTAACCATACAACACTTAATGACGAAAACAAAAGAAACAGCCCAGTCTTGAATTGCTTTAGAAATTCATTTCAACTTTAGAATTCTCATAAAGAAGGAGCCACTATAACTATTATCGATTGCACAGTCCAAAATCCATTCACTTTGACATGAACGTCTATTTAATTTTAAACTAAGGGGGAGTTACGCGGATATAAAGAAATCAAATTACAGATAAATTCTATCAATGTCCATAAGTTCATATATCATCGATTCATAAACAATTGACAGAGAGAGAAAGAGGGAGGGAGAGAGAAGCGTACATCTGCGTCAGTAGGGTTCTTGGCGTACTCTGCTTCGGCGGTTATACGAGCATGTTCGAAGATCATTAGCCTCTCCAAATCATTTTGGGTAGCTTCCATTGTTTCTCGATCCAAATCTGATGGAACTTTTTTCTCTATCAAACCGTTGAATATCCGCTAGGGTTTATGAAAGAACAAAACGTAAAAGAGGGGGTGAGGTTATTTGCTTCAAGTGTCAAATACTCGGGGTATGGTAAATCTAGGCGGCTAGGCCGTAGGTGTAAGTTCAGTAACTTTTAAACACCAATCTACTATTATTAGTAATGGGGTTGGCTAATAAAACACCATATTTTACCATTTAGACAATCCTAATTAATACTTGAAATATATTTTATTGGTTGAAATTGCATTGTTTTCCGAAAAAGATAATTACAAGAAGCTGATTATAGGTTAACTTTTTATAAAAATAATTATAGGGTGTCTAAGGGGTGTTTTATTAGCATCACCCTTAGTAAAAATCATTAAGTATTTGTTTTCCGAAAAAGTAAAAAAAAAAATTTCTCTATTTCTCTTTCTCTCATATATATATATATATATATATATATATATATATATATATATATATATATATATATATATATATATATATATATATATATATATATGTTCAGGTTCATTTGAGACCATTCTAATTTTGTGAGACCGTGATACCAAATCTAAAAATAATTTTAAAATGCAAAATAAATGGAAAAATTCAAAAATTCTTTTTTTAAATATTATTTTCGGAACTTAAATTAACTAAAAAAAATAAAAAAAAATCTCGTTTTTTTTTTTTTTTGAACAATACGTGAAATATTCTAAATAGAATATTACACTGACATATTCTAAAAAATAATTTTAAAATGCAAAATAAATGGAAAAATCTAAAAATTCTTTCTGTAAATATTATTTTCGGAACTTGAATTAACTAAAAAAAATTAAAAAAACTAAAAAAAAATCCTATTTTTTTTTTTAAAATACGTGAAATATTCTAAATAGAATATTACACCGTAATATTCTAAAAATAATTTTAAAATGCAAAATAAATGGAAAAATCAAAAAATTCTTTTTTTAAATATTATTTTCAGAACTTGAATTAACTAAAAAAATTTTAAAAAAATTTTAAAAATTTTAAAAAAATAAAAAAATACGTCTCACGGTCTCACAAAATTAGGCCCCCTCACATGAATCTAACCGTATATATATATATATATAAACAGTTTTATTTTTTTCTTGTTTTGTTTTTTTTTTTTTAATTTCAATAAAAGTAACGTTGCAATTATAATATAATATGTATTTAAACCTTTGGGCTTTTTTTATCCGAATTCTTTTTCTTTTGTCTCTTGTGTGTTTACAATTTACACATTTTTTTATTAGCATAACATGATACATCTGCCGTTTTTTTAATACCCACACCTTTTATTTATCTGGTTTTTTTTCTTATGTGTTCATCATCTACCCGTCTTTTTTTAATTATAGCGGCCATATATTTTTAATAATTGCTATATATGTTTTTGAGCCAATACTTTTATCAACATAATATATTTTTTGAAACAATACTTTTATCAACATAAATATGACAAAAATACATGTTATACGCAACTTTGAGACCCTTTATTTTTTTTTCATTTTATTAATTTATACGAAATACCAACACATGCCATATCGTTTGTTAGCTATTTTATCTTCCTTTTTTAATATATATATATATATATATATATATATATATATATATATATATATATATATATATATAAAGTTAATAAAAATAACTAGATGGAATAATAAATAATAATTATATCGTTCATGTAAAATTTTATAATAATATTTTTAATATCTAATATTTTAATAAATGATAAGAAAAAAGAGAATTTTGTAAATGTATTTTTTTTATAGTGTTTATTATTTTTATAATATCAAAACAAACTTTAGAAATAATTTTTTTTGAATTCAGGTATGTGAAACACATAAGTTAAATATATATATATATATATATATATATATATATATATATATATATATATATATATATATATATATATATATATATATATATATATATTGTAAAAAAAACGAAGACGACGTAGATAAGATTTTAAAAAAATGTGATTGTTAATATTTTTTAATAAAGTATCATTTAAAATAAAAAGTTAATAAAAATAATTAGTTGGAATAATAAATAATAATTATATAGTTATATAATAAATATATTATAAATTAAAAATTAAAAGTGAAATATATATATATATATATATATATATATATATATATATATATATAAGAAATAGAAATAAAGAAAATTACTTTTTTAAAAAACAATGCAATGATTAATATTAATGTCAATATAATAATAATTAGCATCATTCACCTAAAAAGTAACCTAATAATATAGGTTTGTATTATAGATTAGTATGTCCAAAGTAGGACCCTTGTTTGTTTCAACTTTGAAGCACTTTCAAAAGCTATTTAAATTGTTTTTTTTTTCTTACCTAATAATGATTTAAATAGGTAATATATTATTTGCTATCTATATTAAAAATAAAAAGTTTAATATCAATTTGTAAACATTAAACATTTTATAAAGTAATTGAAAAAAGAAAGTAAATCAATAAGTTTGTAACATTTATATGAATTTATTCTCAAATTAATAAAATGATAGCATTACATAAATAAAATAAGAACATTCCATATATATAACTGTAAATTATGAAAATTTAACGTAAAAATGAAAAACCTCAAAAAATAACAAGTGTAAAGTAAAAAAATGAAAAAAAAAAACAAAAAAAAAAAGTCATATGGTAAAATGAAGGAGAAGAAGACATGTAGGAAAAAAAACTTTCATTTATTAGAGAGGATTTTATTATTGAATTTTTTTTCTATATTTTCCTTCGATTTATTTAATTATACACATTCAGTCCTTCTGATTGGCTACTCCAGATAAAAGGAAAGAAAAAAGACTTAATTATTTATCACTTTATACATATTTAGTTATTAATAATTTTTTGCACATTTACTGTAACATCATGTTATTAGGGTTAGAAGTTTTGGACATTTTGGTAAAAATAAAAAGTTTCTTTATTTTATAATAAAATAATTTGAAATGAAATAAATAAATAGATGGAAGTCAATGATTTTGATTGATAACCCTCATAAACATTATTGGTAAGTCAAAAATATTATGATAGAGTTTGGGCGTCAAAAGAAAACGTTTGGTTTAAGGACCAAAAGTGACAAGTTGGAGAAACTTATGTTTAACCCAAGGGTTTGACCAAATGAGCATCTAGGATCGATTTTGTATAAGTTAAGATATGTAAGGGCATTTCTTGAGCTAATGTAAGTTCTAGGTGCGCTTTAGGACCATTTCTGAAAGGAAATTTTAATGAGGGACCAAAACTATCAGTTCATAGATTTTAAGGAAAGCGCCCCTCGCCCCTAGAAAGCGTGTCGCACCTTCATCGCAAAACAGGTCCGATTTAGCGTTCTTAGTTGTCTTTTCTCACTCATTCTTCACCCACTTTCTTCTCCACTCGAACCTAACCTTTCTTTCACCCCCATAATCTTGATTTTTCCCCCATTTAATCCATGGTGTTTTGGTGATTGGAATTGCTTGATGAATCTCTACTCAGATCCTTCCAAGAAATTGCATCAAAGGTAGTTATGCATCCTCTTTTTCCCTAAATTCATATTTAGGGTTTTATGGAAATTCAAATCCAAAATTTATACTTAATTTGTGTTGTTTATATAAGATTAATGATGTAGTTTCTTCCTTTAATCCATCTCCAAGCTCCAATCAATAAAATGGTTGTGAGATTTGTAAGATTGGAGTTGTTTTGATGAGTTTTCTTAGCCATTAATGGTGAAATACAAGTTTATGCTTGAATTAGGTGATTATTGTGAATTGTTGGTGTAGTTTAACTCCTTGGTCTATCTACAAACTCCAACTAAAACATAGTTGGGAGATTTGTGAGTTTGAATGTGATTTGGTGGGTTTCTAAAACCCTTGATTTTCAAATATGAATTTGAAGCTTCAAGCAATGATATGAGCTTGAGTTTACGGTTAAATGGTACATTTTCCTTAAATCAATGATCCAATTATTAACCTTTTGGCATATGGTCAGATTCCATGATGTTTGAATCAAATTCTAGTTCTAATGGTGGTAATTTGGGTATTTTTCTTTCTTGAATTCATTGATTCAAACTATTAATTCCACACAATGATATGAATTTAGATTTTTGATTAGATTGATTATGTTCTTTCAAATCCATAATTCATTTGTTAATGCATGACCAATGGTTAGATTTCTAGTGTTTAAATTCAAATTTAGATTTCATGTGATGATTTAGTTATTATCAAACCCTAACTGTTCTAAATCAATATTTGTGGTTTCAAATAATGATTTGAGTTTGAGATAATGTTTAGATCAAGTATTTCCATTATAATATATGATCCATTGGCGATAATTGTCTCATGGTGAGATTATGAAATGTTGAATAAAAGTTCATTTTATTTTGGGAAATTCAACTTGTTGATTATGGAACTATGCTCCAAGTTTGAAATCCCACATGGAACGTAACATTTTGTCTAGTTTTGGTATTCAAGCGTTCTTTGAGGAATCGAAAGTAATATGATTATTTGGTGCCATGATTAGTGTTCAAATAAAATGTAAATGTTCTTTGAAATTTTTAGTTTTGATATTAAGTAATATTTCAAGTTTAAATCTTTCATAATACCTTTTCCTCATAAAAATGGTTTTGACATGTGTTGGTATATGTAGAATCAAGTCAGCTGGTATTGTGGAGAGTTTCATTCACTTTTGGAAATTTAGTTCTCATTGAATTTATAAAATCTAGATGTTTAATGTTAATCCAAGGAAATGAACCATTATTGATCCTTCTTATGTTCTTTTGAAGTGTTATAAACTAATTTTATGTCCTTGAGTAGATCTTAAGCCTTAAGATGTTCTAAGAACCTTATTTATGAAAACAAGAGTGTAAGAGGAGTAAAGGTGTTTAAAGATGAAGTAATACACTTAAGTTTGCAAGCCTTACCACAATGGGTGAAGTAATCCTCTTGGAAACACCTTAAGGTCTCGAAATTTAGAGGACAATGAAGGAGTTCTTGAGATATTAAAGAGAGTTTGAAAGGAATTTTTTGAAGGAATTTTTTGAAGATGTGTGTGTGTTGTTGTTGTTCTCGGCCATAAGTAGAAGGAGGGAGAAAGAGG